TGAGCGCATTACATAAATTCTCATCTTAGGCCCTCACCTTGTGCCTGATTTCTCCACTCCTAAACTCTCCCTTCCCCATTTTCAGATTCTCTCCTCTGCTTTTACCACACCAGTTCACTTTCCCTTCATTTGGGCTCTGAACGTTTTATTTCTCCATTTCACTGTCTTTGACATGCATCCTTCTGCTTCCCAAGCTTATTTACCACTATCCCTTAGCTTCCAGGCTCCAGTCTCCCCAACTTCTTCCACTGCTCTCCATGCTCCAGAGTATTCTTCCTTTTTACAAACATAATGATAATGATGATGATGATGATGATGATGATGATAATTTATTGCCCCCTGGTGGCCTCTTCATTAGGGACCAGATTTAGGAGGATTGGGGTTAGTGACCTGGCAGGGAGCAGGGTGCCAAGAGGGGGGCAGACCAGTGGGGATCTGATCCCAAAGATGGGGTGACCCCAGGGTCAGGGAGGCTGCCCCCTGGCTTGTATATTTAACCCCTATGTTCCAAGAGAAATGAATAGTAATAATAATAATTCTATTTATCTAAGTTATGATGACAGGTCAGATAGAGTGAGCTGGAGAGGGAGGAGGTCCATTTCTGCTATGGAAACTTTAGACAAATACATTTCTGTAGAAAGCGTTAGTGCGGATCTTGTTAATAGAATTTCTGTCGTCAGGGTCTCAGTTAATGGGGTTTCTCTTTTAATAGAATCTTTGCTAATAAGGTTGGTTAGCTAGATCTCTGTTAAAGAGTTGATGGGGTATCTCTCAATCAGGGGATCCCTAATATTCCCACCCCAGCCAGAAGCTGTGAAACCTCAAGTCCTATGGAGGGGATGACCTATGTATCCCAGCTCCTTAGATCTTAGAACAGGTTCTTCCACTGCCCCTCCCTGACACCATGACCCCATCAGGCTAATCCCTTGTTGCCATGGTTATGGAGAGCGTATAGTTGCCGCTTTAGGCTCTTTGGGGAAGCCTACCTAACAGGAGGAGGACGTTGGTTTGGAGGTGCCTCTCCTGAAGAATAGGTGGAGAAGGCTTTCTCTGGGATCAGATTCAAATAAATCAAGTATTTATTGAGTGCCTACTCTGTGCAAGGCACTGTGCAAGGATGGCTAGAAGCCACGAGAACAAATTGATAGAACTAGGATGAATGAGGTCCCCAAGCGGATTTGGGTGCATACACAGGCCCTAAACCTGGGACTTCCGATGCTCCCAATTCCACCTCCAGTGACTTTTAAAACCGCTTTGTGCCTTTCCTGTGACTTTGGATTCTCCTTTTCTATCTCCTGCTCCCTCGAGGTCCCAAGTTAAAGGGTTAAAGCCGTTGGAGCTTGGGGAGAGGGTAATATTATGGAAGGAAAGAGATCATGTCCTCATGGAGTCTTTTTTTTTTTAATTTAATAAATAAAAGTTCGATTTAAAATTTTGTCCTGGTGAGAAAAGGGTAAGAGGAAGGGAGATGGGTGAGCCACAGGATTTTTTTCTTTACGAACTGGGGACTCCTCACGGGCGTTCTATGGTGCCTGTTTGCACAGTATGTCCGCAGTAGAATACTTCCTCGTCCAGGCTCTCCGGCGGCAGAATTCAGCTTTTGACCTTGTAGAGCTCTCCGCAGAGTTGGGAAGACGGAGCGGTTTCTTCGCCGGTTCTTTCTCGGACTCCGAACTAACGGACCTTGGCGGGCCAGGGCAGTGACCCGGCCCGAGCGTCGGCCCTGTGGGCGCAGCGCGGACTACTGCGCGGCCCG